AATTCTCTTAACATAATATATTTCATTTTTTATATAAGAAATATTTTACAAATTTATTTTTAAAACTATCAATGCTGTTCTTAATTCCCGATGAAAATTATTGAGGGTATTTTTGAAAAAAAACATATTGTACCCCTGCTTTTAAAATTTTTCTGGCTCCGCTACTGGTCGGTAAGCTCACTGGTGGCAATCTAGGGAATACATTTATAGTGGAAATCTTAGTTTGTTTTATAAAGATGGTCTCATTTTTCTTAAAATAACAAAATATTTTATTTTTATTTCCGCATTAGTAAAAATGAAGTTAAGGAGGCTTTAAAGAAAACCAAGGGTGAAAAAATAGCATGACCTTATGATATCCCAATTGAAGTGTGGAAATATTTAGGATATTCAAGAGTTTCCTGACTTACTAAACTCTTTAACCTTATTTGGAAAACTGAAAAGATGCTTGAGAAGTGGAGGAAGGGTATTTTGGCCTCCATTTTTAAGAATAAAGGGATGCATAAGAGTGTGTGAATTATAGAGGAATTAAATTTATGTGTGATACTTTAAAATTATTGGGGAGGGTAATTGAATATAGGTTAAGACGTGATACAAAGATTTCTCATAATCTGTTTGGATTTATGTCTGGCAGGTCTACTATTGTAGCTATACATTTATTGAGAGGCTTGGTGAAGTACACATAGTAAGGAGGATCTACTTATAATTTTTATTGATTTAAAAAAAACAACTTACGATAAGGCTCCAAGAGAAGTCCTTTGGAGAGTTCTAGAGAAGAAAAATGTTGATTTGACTTATATTCAAGTTATTAAAGATATTCATATTAGAGCGGTTACATGTGTTCGAACAGGAGGATTGACCCATTATTTTCCTTTTTCAGTTGGATTAGATCAGAGATCTGCTTTAAGCCCATATCTTTTTTGCTTTAGTTAGGAATGCTCTTACTGGACATTTACAAGAAGATATGCCTTGGTTTATACTTTTCGCTGATGATATCCTTCTTGTGGATAAGACTAGATAAAGAGTTTACGACAAACTTGAATAATGGAGTTCTATAGGTTTTCGTTTGTGTAGATCTAAAATTGAATACATGGATGTAATTTTAGTAGTGGTAGCTCTCATAATGGAGTTGTAACTATGGGTGTCAAATGAACAATGCGTGTGAACATTTTAGATATCTCAGGTCTACTGTTCAAGGTGATGGTGATATAGACAAGGATGTTATTAATATAATTCAAGTTTATTGGTTGAAGTGGAGGAATGCATCAAACCTATTGTGTGATAGAAAAGTACCGCTTAGATTTATAGGAAAATTTTGTAAGATGGTGGTGAGACCTGCAATGCTCTATTGCGCAAAATGTTGGCCTTTAAAAGAGAAACATAAAACAAAGTTAAGTGTTGATGAGATGAGAATGCTTAGGCGGATGAGTGGCTTGACACTTAGAGACAAAATGCGAAATGAATATATCTGTGATAGGGTTGATGTGGCTCTGGTGGCGAACAAAAGTAGGTAGAGAGAGTCGTCTTAGATGGTTTCATCCATTAAACGTTGATCATCTGATCATCTGAGCATCTGATCATCTGGTTAGGAGAGTAAATGTTTTAGATTCAACTTATGTTAAGAAAGGTAGAAGTAGACCTAAAAAGACTTGGGGCATATTTTAAAAATGATCTTAATCTATTAGAATTAAATGAAAATATGACACTCAGTAGGATGTAATGGAGAAAAATGATTCATGTAGCTGACCTCACTTGGTGGAATAAAGGCCCGACCTCACTTGGTGGGATAAAGGCTTGTTGTTGTCGTTGTTGTAGATTATCTAAAATACTAAAATTAGGTTTTACTCCATTGGCGACTAATTAGCCCGTCACATTGGACTTTTATGGTTGTTTTTGCATGATTGGTTAGTAAGCTCTTTTATATTCACATACTAGTGGTATTCTATGCTGTAAACTTTATTTTGGTTCCATAAGATGCTATAACTTACATTTAATTAGGATATGTTTTGTCAGTGGATTTGAAATTTTTTCATGGTTGCAATATTAAAATGAAACGTGTGTCACCCTGTTCTTTTATAACAAAAGTTGTGAATTACTGCTTGGCATGTTTTAGGTATTTTTGAGACCCTATATTTGATTTTGGATTTCTGCACTGGTTAAAACAAACAAGTTGAGTTTAGATTAAGGTCCAAGAACTAGCGTTAAAATATTTTCTTGATCAATGAGCTTATTGACCACATCAAGCCCTTGGAAGGTCAATGAAATCCGAAAATCTGATAGTACTGCTTGCTGAAAAGAAGACGTAATTATTGTTCCAATAAGATTGTTTTCCACCTCATCATTTTTCTTTTGCTTCTAGGCTTTGGGTTTTAAACTTTAGCATCATCAACAATTAATCAACTTGTTAATCAGAATTTGGTTTATTTGATTATGTGCCGCTGCTTTTTTCAACTACCTAGTTATATGACAATTTTAATGAGGTGGACATTCACAGTGAAAGTCCCTAGCATGCTAAAGATTTTCGGCCATGAAGAAAATCAGTGGAGGAGCTCATGCATCTCGAAAAGAGCATGCAGATTTCTACAGCAGCAGTGGTTATTTTTTTAATACAACACACTTCACAATAGAACACTACATTACCCCTGTAAACCTTGTTTTATTGTTGGATAATGTCCACACATTTTCATCATGTACAACAAAATATATAGTAGAGATTTTTTTGACTGGTGATTATATACTCCTGTTTGTTATTTCAATGCCATGTCTTGAGTTAACATGCGTCATAGTTTCAAGGATATATGATTTCCTGGTTAATTATATGTTTGTTTTTTGTTCATTTTGTCAATTAATATGTTTTGAAATGGTTAACTTTGGTGTGCTATAAAATTTGTGATAATAGAGTGAGTGGTTAACGTATTAGTTTTACACTAAGATTCATCACACGGTTAAAAGAAAAATTTTATAGGAATATTGAAGTTTTCATATGAAAATTTCACAAATAAAAATAAAATTGGGGGCCTAGCCTAGTTGAAATGATTCAACTAGTATGTTACATATGTTAAAAATGATGTCATTTCTTTTAATTGAAGAATACATTGATACAATACAATTAAGATGAGTTATGTAGAATAGATTTTTATAATGAAAATTGGAGGGGTCTGGAGGCAGCGGAGCTCTTTTCAAGAGAGTATATAGTTTGTTCAATCATTCATGTTTGAAGAGAGGAGGTTAGAGGCCAAGAATTACAATATAATCTTAGTGTTAATATTGGGAATCTGTTGTGGAGGCGATGATGTACATCATTACTATGAGCAATGATTGGCGACAACATGTATCATCTTTATATGTGATGATGTGTTGCTGGCATGCATCGACCTTATGAGTGTTGGCGTCCATCAACCTCATAAGGAATGCCATGTGCTGATTTTGTTGTTGATGAAGTCATTGGAAGGAAATAGTCAACGATGGTGGTCAGAAGATTATAGTCGGATAACAATGCTCATGAGATCATAGTTGAGTGATAGTGTTTGGGAGACCATAATTTGACAACGATAATCAGGTGATTATAGTTGAGTTGTGGTGGTTGGGAAAACTTAGATGATTGTGCTCAGAAGATCGTAGCTAGGTTACATGATCAGTCAATCGTAGTTGGGCGATGATGGTTAGAAGATCATGTTTGGGAGAACGTAGTTGGATGATGATGGTTTGGAGATTATAGTCAGGCAATGATGGTCTCGATCGTAGTTGGG